ACAGGCATTCAGTAAACATTTATTAAATGAATGATTAATGACTGTGTCAAACAGTCTAAGAATCTGCGGGGTGGCGAGGGCAAGGATGGAAGAGGACACAGAGGGGATAAACGGTGATGGGAAGATAAAATAAAATAATAAAAAATAAATATCAGCATTCCTCAAAAAAACCCCCAAAAACAAAAAAACAGAGAGAGAGAGAAAGAATCTAAATAAGGCAGATCTGGGAATTTTTAGACTCATGCGACCAGCTACGAGGACCTTCAGGGCAATTCATTCACAGCTTCCTGTTTAGAAAATGAAGATGGTCAGAGTGATATCCACCCAAAGACTCGGGGCCAGTTTGAAGGCCTGAGGCATATTGCTTCATGAACTACGGATATTGTTATTTTAAAATTTAATGCAGATTGCTTTAACTCATTACATGTTATTTCTATTAGATTTTTGCTCTTCATTTTGAAATTATTGTAATGATTTGTCAGTAGATTGAGATTAAAGAACGTTCTGGATCTCATTACTGATCTCCAGAGAAACACTCGATGAACCCAGAGATTGAGCAAAGCATCTCCATAAACAGCTCCAAGTATAATAAAACTGGGTAAACTGAGAAATGTTGGCTAATTATCATTGTCGTGATGAGCACTATTATGTTTATTTGCAGAGTAGCTGGCCTCTGACTACTCCTTCGTGTTTATGTTTTTTTCTCTGTAAAAAATAGCTTCCTGGAGATTGTTGTCTTGTGTTTATATTATTCCATGAACACTCTTTTCACCTAACCCTTCGTTGATGTCCAAGCCAAGCCACTGTTGGAGCGCCAAGCACCTCCCGCCTGCCAGGTTTTACAAAGTGAATTAAGTGCTCGGTTCTCTTCGGGGGTGAAGCCCTGCGATGGCCCCACTAGCTGCTGTGCTCTCGGTTGGTCGTGGCAGGTAGAAGCGTGGGAATGAGGGAAGCCAAAGAAATGACAAGTTTGGCAAAGAGAAAATTTCAACTTCAAAAGATATCATAAGCAATGTAAACTAAATATTATGCTAAAATATGTAGGAGAAAATTTGACAGAACCTTTAAAAAGTCTTTTAGCCCTGGCTGAAGTGGCTCAGTTGGCTGGAGCTTCATCCTGCGCCCTGAAAGGTGGAGGGTTCAATTCCGGGTCAGGGCACATATCCAGGTTGCAGGTTCCATCAGAAGCAACCCATTGATGTGTTTCTCTTTCTCCCTCCCTTCCTCTCTCTTTAAAAATCAATGAAAACATATTCTTGGGTGATGGTTAAAAAAATAAATAAATAAAAATAAATAAATAAAGAAGACTTTTTACCCCAAGCTTGAATGGGCTTTATTTAAAACATACAGTGAAACCTCAGTTCCCAAGCTTAATTTGTTCTGGAAGACTGTTGGAGAAGTGATTTGTTTGAAAACCAAATCATTTTTTCCCATTAAAAATAATGTAAATTGAATTAATTCACTCCAGACCCCCAAATGAGTCCCTGTTTTAACCTTTCGTACATACAGTTCATGTCTAATGTACTGTCTAATCTTTAAACAAATACTGTTTAAGTTTTCAAACCACTCCCTACTAACCTTAAAAAATCATTTTCAGCACTCGTTCCAGGGGTGTCTCTCCGGAGGTCAGCGTGAGGCATCTTCATTTGCAGTCACAGCTAACTGCTTTTTACTTATCCAGGTCAACAACAGTTTTTCTACCTCTTCAATTGCCTGTGATTATTGTTTCTTTCATACCATTAGCAACATAAGCACCCTTGATGGCCTCTTTATGTTTTAAAATTGTGCTAATCATCCATTTCACTAGCAACAAAAACAAAAAAACCCAAAAATATTCGTAGCACAATTTCCTGAGATGTTAACAACTCAAGGTTTAGCAGTAAATGGACTCATTCTGGTACATTTTCTCCTTTGTCTGTGGCCTGAAAGACGCTTTTTCTCTTGCTGATGTATCAGCTTGAACAGGTTGTCAGGTTGAGAACCGAAGTTTGTTCAACAACAGAAACATCTTTCCTGTGAACAACTTGGTCGAGTACCGAAGTTGTTTGAGATGGGAGACATTCGAAAACCAAGGTCTGACTGTATATACATGGGAAACAGGACGTAATCACCCGCGTCCACCAGTAACCCTCGCCTGGCATAGGGCAGAGTCCTCTAGGGAAAAGGCATGAAGCCAGCAGAGTTTGACATGGACACTGGGCTGAAGATTGGCTCGGAAGGTGTCCGCATCATGAAAATCTACCGTGAGAACCCACTGAGGCCACTGACACCCCCAGAACGGTCATGGGAAAGGCAATGCAGAGGGTGGGTCCACCTCCCGGGGAGGTGGGCAGCAGAGAGCAGCAGAGGGGAGAGCCCGCTCCAGCGTCCCTCGCTTCCCAGCTGGCCCAGGCCTTGCCATACTGGTGATTACCACTGGATCTGGAGGCCTGGGTGGCGCTCAGCACATTTAAGTTTCTCCTCTTTGAAGCAAAATTATGAAACCAGTTACGCTCTTTGTGACTTTTTTCTGAACCACACTGTGATTCCTCAGTTGCTTTGGCGCGTGATCTCCATAAGCAACAACAGCTGGTCTCCGTCAGAGATGCAACGCATCCCGCGGCGAGAGCACGGGGTTCCGAGCCAGAGATGCAGAGGGAGCCACTTCACAGCAGCCCTCTGCAGGGTCACGGGCCTCGGGCTGCCTTCTCGGTTAACTTTGAGCTCTTTCAAAATGATCAGAGCAATGCTTTCCACGTGCACAGGCTACGCTTGCAATGGGCCAACGCATACTCCTTCGGGTAAGATGGGTCAGGATGAATTTTTTTAAAATACATATTTTTAAAAATTGATGTTTAGAGAGAGAGGAAGGGAGAGGGAGAGAGAAAACATCAGAGAGACGTCGCTCAGCTGCCTCCTGCTCGCCCCCTACTGGGGATCCAGCCCGCAACCCGGGTGTGTGCTCTGACCCGGAATCAAACCGGTGACCTCTTGGTTCATGGGCTGCTGTTCCAGCACTGAGCCACACCGGCTGGGCAGGGTGATTTTTAAAAAAATCTGAGGCTGATGAGCTTCCAAAACATGAGCAGTAAATATGATTTACAAAGGCACCCACCTCTGGAGGAAAAAGCAGAATCCGTGTTCTCCCAAATCTGTCAGTTATTCTATAGCCCATTTCTTAAAGTACATCCTACCAGACTTCATCAACACTTACCAAACATCAAGCATGTTTCTGGGATTTATTTTGCATTAGCAGTGCCTGCATCTCTTTGGAACAATATGATGCTACCAGGCCACCCTGAAAGTTCTGGATATTTAGATGTTTATCGTTTGCTTATTTTTAAATTTAGTTGGCCACGTTGTTTTCGTTGCCCTGATTTTTCACACCTTTTCCCCATAAAATCACTGTACACGTGGAATGTCGAAATGGATTAAAGTATCTGACATCCATATACATTCAAAGACTGACAAAGTCTCACACAGAGAGTAATGAGGAAAGTGTGATACTGCAAATATAGTGATTATCAACATTTACTTTTCAATATAGTTCTAATAAAGAAAAAGCACTAGACTGGGCATGGAGAGACCTGAGTTCTATTTCCAGCTCTTACCCTAAGTGGTTACATTTCCCTGGGGAATAACTTTTTAAAAGCCATTTTATTGAAATAGGAATGAATATGCAAAGCTGTACGTATTTAATGTATGCCACTGAATGAGCTTGGAGATAAAACCATCACAGTCTATGCCATAAACATGTCCATTGCCTCCAAAGGTTTCCTCCTGCTCTGTAGTTATTATTATTGTCATCATCATGATCATTATTGTGATAAGAACATGACAGGAGAACAGGTCTGTGGTTACTAGAGGGGAAGGGGGCTCGGGTGGGCAACAGGGGTGAAGGTGGCCAACTGCATGGCAATGGGAGTAACTAGACTTTTGGAGGCGGGAGAGAGAGAACCACTGATGTGAGAACAAAACATCGATCGGCTGCCTCCCACAGGCCCCTCCACTGGGACCGAGCCTGAAACCTGGGCCTGGGCCCCGACCAGGAATTGACTGGCAACCTGCTGGCGCAGGGCACCATGCCCAGCCACCGCGTGGCACCGGCCAGAGCCAGGCGGTCACTTTGTAGCACATACAGAGGTAGCATTATAGTGTTGTACACCCGAAAGTCCTATAATTTTAAAAAGTCATAAAAATCGTACCTAAAGGGAACTTCACCAATATTATAGTGTTTAAAGGTATGGAAAGAAATTCAGAAGGTTCATTGTAAGTCCTAGAACAAACTCCGCAGCTCGGCCAGGCGCTGAAAGCATGAGCCCGACATCAGGCTGCGAGCGGCGTGACCCCCGCCCACGGCGCCTGGGCCGCCTCCCAGGCCTGCCCGCGGTTCCGGCCCTGTGCGAGCAGCAAGGCCCGGCCACGGCCGGGTGGCAGAGCCCAGGCTGCTTGGGGCCAGGACCTTCCAGGTCGCCGAGCCAGGCCTGCCCGCGGTTCCGGCCCTGTGTGAGCAGCAAGGCCCGGCCACGGCCGGGTGGCAGAGCCCAGGCTGCTTGGGGCCAGGACCTCCCTGGACGCCGAGCCAGGCCTCCCCCGACAGCACCGGCCCTTCCTGCAGCGCGGCCGCGGGCGTTCTCTCTTTCCCTCGGCTCCCATTCCCGAGTGACTGGGCTGCGTTCCCTGCTCTGAGCGATTCGTTCTGTTCAGCGAGCTNGCCCTGTGTGAGCAGCAAGGCCCGGCCACGGCCGGGTGGCAGAGCCCAGGCTGCTTGGGGCCAGGACCTCCCTGGACGCCGAGCCAGGCCTCCCCCGACAGCACCGGCCCTTCCTGCAGCGCGGCCGCGGGCGTTCTCTCTTTCCCTCGGCTCCCATTCCCGAGTGACTGGGCTGCGTTTCCTGCTCTGAGCGATTCATTCTGTTCAGCGAGCTTGCGTCGTAAACCAGACCGTAGCCAGATACTGTTTACAAGGCTGTTGACCTCGCAAGCGGCCTCAGGGGCAGAGGCGCGAGTGCCCGGCTTACCATTTCCCTTCGGCGTTTTCATACTGCTGGACCGTGTAGCCGAACAGGTCGGCCACCGGGCCGCTGAACGTCATCGAGTTCTTCACGTCCACGTTGAAGGACACGCAGCAGCCGAGGAGAACTGCAGGGGAAAGAGGCCAGTGACGCAGTGAGGTTAGCTGCGTGAGATGTTTCCCAGATTAGAAAATTCTCTTTAAATTTATT